CATAATACGCTGTGAAGATTTATTGTCCTTCAGACAGGCCAGAAACCTATGATTCTGCGTTTGATTCCTACTTCATCTAGATATGTGTCTCAGTTTGTCATAACTAAATCCAGGCTTATTTGTTTCATCAAACTCGTAAACATCCAAGACATTATAATTGATGTAAAGTGTTATGTCGGTTGGGCATGCCAGAATCCTATGGTTCTGAGAGAGTGAGTGAGTGAGTTTAGTTTCATGCCGCTTTTAGCAATATTCCAGCAATATCACGACAGGGGACTCCAGAAATGGGCTTCACACACATTGCACCCATGTGGGGAATCAAACCCAGGCATTCGGCATGATGAGCAAACGCTTTAACCACTAGGCTACCCCACTACCCCTTTAACATGCCAGATCCACTCCTGAAAGCATGGTCAAAGCAATGCATTATAATAGTGCTGGTCAGTGGGACAGCATACATTTGATTTTCAGTCTCGAGAAAATGAATGAACTGGGCCTCGTTCCATGGAGTGCAATGACTCCTATTTCGTATCATAGATTTTCAAAGTTTGTAAAGAGATTACTGTGATGAGAAACATCGCCTCAGTCTGTTCCATCAATAAGAGTGGGTGAGTGAGTCTGTTGGTGGATGGTATGGTTGGTCGCGTGAGTGAGTTTAGGTTTACGTCTCACTCAGCAATATTCCAATACAGTGATCAACAGCATGAGCATCGATTTATGCAACTGGGATACGATGACATCTGTCAACCAAGACAGCAAGCCTGACCACCCGATCCCGTTAGTCGCCTCTTACGACAAGCATGGGTTACTGAAGATCTATTCTAGCCCAGATCTACATGGGTCTCGATTGAGTGAGTGAGTTGTTTGGTGAGTGAGTGAGGGGTGGATCCTGGGTTTGAAGACATCACAATTGGCTGTGGATAGTTATCTCCTTCTCGCATCTGGTTTTCAATTCTAGTTCATCCAGTTTATGCATCTAGTTTTGTCAGTACCATATGTAGGCAGGTTGGTTTCACTAAGGTTGCAAACATCTCAGATTACCATTGCTTCGACTCTCTCTCATCCACTGTTAAGCTGCATTAAACCCACTCACTCTTTATAACAATGACCTGTACATACTAACTCAGACCCTACAAAAATGAGGGGTGCAATTCCACCCTAGAATCCCCAGGGTTCTGTCAATTTATTCCAATACAGCACCACCATGAAGATAATAAATGAAGATTACGGCATTTACGCATTCCGCTTCGCAGGAGGGCTGGATAAAGAATTACATGTAGCTAGGAGAGTTGGCAAAGACGTATTTATGCATTTATTTCCATGTAAAACAAACTGCTTGTCATCAGTGTTCTGACCTAACGACAGGTCAATTAAACACACCTGGCTAACAACATTCATTTGTCACTCGAGTTCCTTCAGAAAGGTGGACAGACCTGACATAAGCAATCCATTCTGAAAATCTGGAATGGATTATTTCCCCATATAATTTTATTTCAGATTTGACATTGACAAAGCAATTACACAATCTTTTCCGTAAGATACAAGCGAACATGCTCTTCCTACTGGCGTCAATTACGAGGTACAAATGAAATGTACAAAAATGTGTGAGCGATTACACACGATTCCGTGCAATTTACACGACACTGGAAGTTGTACATTTCCTCTGATGGTGACACTGACACGTTGTAATTTACACCATAAATATGTCATTAATCTTCTTCTGTCTATTGGTAATGAGACACAAGGAAGTGATTACCTTGTTCATTTCACTCACATGTGGAAGTGACATATCATTTGACTTGGTTTCGGCTTTCGCCGATATTTTCAGTGCCGATACATGGCATCATATTCAGGGAGAATGTGCATGTAACTTCAACGCTCATCACAGTTCCTTGTTTCAAAAGTTGACATTATGTTTTCTGCAGGTTTGAACTGCAAATTGAGTAAGTGAGTGAGTTGGATGTTATCATTGTTTTGAACAATATTCTAAATATATCAGGGCAGGTCTGCTTAATGAGGGAGGAAAGCCTGAAGTAACACAGGTCTCAGATATACTACCCATCAAAAGTTTAGACTCACTTAAAGTACTCACTATATGTTATGCATATATATGTGGTTACATTGAAGATGAATTTCTTCCATAACTTAGGGGAACCAACTGCAAACCTTATACAGATGAACTGCATGAGGATCAGGCATCAAATTGCTGAAAAGCATGTGCAAATATCGCGCATGTGGACAAGTGCGTTTTGGTGTAAAGTATTGTTAAGAATTCGCCAATTTCACAGAGTTTCATCATTTATTGAACTCATGACAATAATATTTCAACCTTGCGAATTTGTTTTACAATACATCAGTTCATGTGTAAACAGTACCTTTAAACAGTATAGAATATTTTGCAAAACCTAGTTCAGAACAGTTGACTGAATTAAGTGGCTACATTTACACTAGTGAGTCTAAACTTTTGATGGGTAGTATATTTACCACTTTGTTTAGTCTGTCATACAGACCCTGAAACAAATACAACCAAACCAGCCCAAGCAAGTCTATAATATGTTGCAAGCCTAGATTACAACATTGTCTTTTTATTCTATTTAATTAACATAATTTAGAAATCATTTTTTCTGTAAATTATGTTCATTTCAGAGACTAAATGTTAGTCTAGCTGAAACCCACAAGCTCAGGACTGGTGCTTACAAACATGGAAACATAACAATAGGGAATTCGGGATTCAATCTCATTATGTTAGGTTTCTGGTACGCTCAAGGGTCACAACTCTGCACACCAATTTGGGTCACGGTTCAGATGACGACGTCACTCATGTATCTGGTAATGAAGGACATAACAGTCATCAAGACGGTGATATTTCAACACTCATCTCCATTCCTTGTTCAAAATGTAGACCATATAATTTTTAAAGATCCTTATGATTAGGGATACAGGTAGCAACCATATTTAACTCTTGCCCTGTACAAGGGATCAACTATTTGATTTCTATTTGATATGGGGAGAAGAACACTTCTATAAATTGATAGTCTGTTCAGTCAAGATAGTTTGTTGGAAGTTGAGAAAATAATAATAGATTGTTCCATTGAAAATACCCAAACATCCAATTCACACACACAAATCAATTGGACCTGTAAATTAATTTATTGTACATAAAGTAAAAATAAAAGTCAATGAAAACTTTACGTTGCTGATGAATTATGGACGATGATTACAACCAGTCAAGATATACCTGAATAGATTTTTTTTGTGCTCATTACAAAAAATAGTTTGTTGAATACAAGTGGAAAATAAACACAAAAATCCCCCTCCATACAAATGAAAAGGATGCTCAACCATAAATTAATATATTCATCAAGGTTGTAAAGCGAATAATTAGAGTCAATGAAAACTAAATGTTGATGGTAAATTATGGATGATAATTATAACCTCTCAGGTTTCACCTGAATAGATTTTTATTGTGCTCATTGCATAAAAAGTTTGCTGGATACAAGTAGGGGAACATAATTCTCACAAGAATCCCCCCTCCATACAAATCAAATGTATGCTCCCTCATAGATTAAGGTTATGAAGTGGATAAATAGAGTCAATGAAAACTAAAAATGTTGGACAATGAAGAAACTAAAATAAACTAAATTAAGGACAATGATTTCATAAGAATAACCACTAGGCCAAACCAATTTTATTTCTTGTTCTATGGATCTGCCGGTCATATTTTTTCAAGAATAAGAGAAAATAAACATTAATTTTTCCCGCACAAAAAATAAAATCCTAATGGTATTTTTTGGCCCAAAATGCATACTTACCAAAAATGATTTTTTTAGATTGTTTTTTGCCTCTGATACACTTCATAAATTGCCAACAGTAAAATACTTTTAGTATTTAAAAGAAATATTACTTTGACTGGTGATTATTTTTCACCCTCCAGTGCCTTTAGGTTTTCCGAGGATGAAAATCTGTGAAACAAGAAATAAAATTTGTCTGGCCTTACAAATACATTTCCAACCGAGAAAAATCACTTCCGTGTAACTGATACATTTCCCTGTCATGAACACAAGCCACAGCACAGGTTTGTCAAGGATAAGCCAAGAAAACGAGACAATCACGTCATAAAAAATACATGCGAACATGAAACCTGAAATTATACCCATAAAAACCAATATAGAAACAAAATAATGAATAATTTGTGATCTTAATGCTACAAGCATCTTTTATTTGAAACGTCCATGACAAAACCAATAATATACAAAAAACAAATCTATGTGGAACCTGATTCTTAGAACTGAATTTCTGTAAAAAATACTGTAAAGAATATTTGATGCCATAGTACTTCTTATGACCCCATAGAAAATACTTATTAAAACACTCCCTAAATCTCATCCCCATCTCAGAACCTGCAGTTTGTATCTATCCCCTTTTACCCTTGAAGATTCGGGTTAGACTTGATCTTCAGTAACCCATGCTTGTCATAAGAGGTGAATAATGGGATCGGGTGGTCAGGCTCGCTGACTTGGTTGACACATGTCATCGGTTCCCAATTGTAGGGAATGCGTAGATCAATGCTCATGCTGTTAATCACTGGACTGTCTGTTCCAGACTCTAATATTTACAGACCACGGCCATATAGCTGGAATACTGCTGAGTGCGGTGTTAACCAACCAACCAACCAACCCCTTCTAGATGGAATTAAAGATGTCGTAATCCTTTAATAAGTGCAGGTTCTCCTGCAAAACGATTTAGCAAACATTAGTGTGTTTCAGGTATAACATATCATCGTCTGTTGATGCCAATGGCTTGAACATCAGCCATGGTGGTCAATTTCTATGACAACCCAAATCAGAAAGCTGTGTGCTCTTCTCAAGTGCGTTGGGTTTGAGGTCAGTATGTTACAATGTGGGGGAGGAATCCCAAGGTGACAAAGATTGTGGACATTTACCGCTTTAGTAAACTATGAGAATGAGTATGATGTCAACGGACCTGGAAACATAATCAAGATGAATCTCATCCTTCAGTATGCAGAGTCGCTTGTAATCATGGGTGGAAGTTCCCCCTGCTTCAAGGTATGGCTTCATTACTCCTGTGTGGGAGTAAATGTCATAGATATGAAAGGACTTCTCACCACATTAAGCTGCCCTGCCGTTGTAAAATATGTTCAATGTGTTGAAATACCCAATTCCCCTTCACACCTCATTTTTTTCACATATTCACAGGGAGTCCCATCATTTCTGAGAGAGAGAGAGAGAAAGCGAGAGAGAGAGAGAGAGAGAGAGAGAAGAGAGAGAGAGAGATCATTTCTGAGAGAAAGACAGGAGAGAGAAAGAGAGAGGAATAGTACCATATTTATAGTGAGAGAAAGACAGGAGAGAGAGAGAAAGAAAGAGGAAGATATATATATTTATAGAGAGAGAAAGAGAAAATACAGAGGAGATATATATATTTATACAGAGTGAGAAAGACAAATAGAGAGAGAGAGAGAGAGAGAGAGAGAGTACCGTCATTTTTGAGAGAGAGAGACAGGAGAGTGAGAGAGAAATACAGAGGACGATATATATATTTATACAGAGTGAGAAAGACAAATAGAGAGAGAGAGAGTACCCCATGCAGGTCTTAATGAAGATGGGTGATGGGATAGCCTTCCTGGTGTCCACTGCTGGAATGAGTGAGTGAGTGAGTTTATTTTACGCTGCTTTAAGCAATATTTCAGCAATATATATACTCCTCACAAAAAGTTAAGCAACACAAATGTTTAGTCTCATTACATTTTCATTAATTGAAATTGCAAATCATGGAATGATGCAATAGAAAGGTGAAACATATGTACACACGATTAACAAAATTAAATGAAATGGTATTGAGCAATAATAGACTTACAAATCATCAAAAGCATGTCCCCATGAAACAGTCGTGCAAAATGTGCTGCATTGATGGAGCAAAATGTTAACATTAAGGTTCAAGTCAGTTTTGGACAGTGAAGCAGTGTCCAGTAACGTGTATGACCACCATGAGCATGAATGCAAGCTTCTACAGGTCTTTGCATTGACCAAATGAGCCTTTCAAGTTGCTGTTGTGGAATGTTCTGCCATTCTCTCTGTAACGCCTGCTCAAGGCCATCTAGAGTCTGGGGGTGAACATTTAGACCGTAAACATGACTTCCAATAATGTTCCAATCATATTCAATGGGATTAAGATCAGGTGACCTTGCAGGTCAGTCCATATGTGTGATGTTGTTGATCTAAACAACATCGTTAACAACTCTTTCTCAGGCATTATTATCCATAGACGGGCATTATCATCCATAAAAATGAAGTTAGGACCCGCTTGTTGTACCAGAGGAATGATAACAGGTAGGTTTACACCGATCAGGGTGCATGTGTGAAGATGGGAGCACAGTCATTCCACACATTTTGCATGTTGTTTCTGAGGGTGATTGTGTTTGGGTGATGTTGTCAATGTTATCAGATAAATCAATTTGGCAGTCACTAAAGGTTATGTATTCTTTGAATATTTACCTTTCAGTAACATGTCGGCAAAAATCACTTTTGGGATTGATAAAGATAACACACTGAAAATACTTGTTGCTTAATTTTTTGTGAGGAGTATATCACAGCAGGAGACACCAGAAATGGGCCCATGTGGGGAATTAAACCGGCATCTTCAGTGTGATGAGCGAATGCTTTAACCACCACCACCCACCACCCACCACCCCCCACCTGCCATAGGACCACAACCTGTTAATTATCCAATCTGGACCCGATAATCCACTGACTGACATTGCAAGCAATGACGATTACCTGTCAGGCCATGATTACCATGAATGGCTGTCATTGCAACCATGTTTAAAATCAGACTGAATTTTAAAATATTTTTGATCACCCTAGTGGCCATCCAAGTAACAAAGTTCAGATTTCAGAGGAAGCAAATCTAAACAAAATTGTGTCCAGGGACACAGATGCCCCCGCTGCTGTAGGAAGAGTTCCCTACACTGAGTGTGCTCTGGTGATTAATTTCTACTAAATAAATATCATGGTTGATTATAAAATAAATATATCCAAAGTGTCCAAGGTAAATACTTATTTGTAAATGTATGTAACAATGAACTTACCACAGTACAATTAAACCTATATCATGAAGGTTCATGGTACAAGGGTAAATAAACTAGCAATAGCAATATCACTGTGGAGGCAAGTGAAAGCAATAGATTGCTGTAGAAGCTAAAGTGGTAAGTCCTTCATTTCAGACAAAGTCTCGAAAATTGTATACATGAATGGAACCATAAATAACCATTCAGGGTCCCACTGAAGTACTTGAAAACGCTAAAAACAATGTGTTGAGGGGTTAGAAAACACAACCTATTATCATATAAAGATCAATAATTGAACAAAATTCATGAACAAGTTCAACAAGTTCAACATCTATGCAACTATGAGATGCACACCTTTTGAGTTCCAATGAAACACATGTATAAGCTTAATCAATTCTGTTGAGCAGCTTTTGTGGAGAAGTGGATAGACTTCATCCCCTATTCACTATCATCAAAGAGAAATTCAACAAAATGTATCTAACTTCTAAGTTCAAATGTCTCTAAACATACAAAAAACTATAAAATACAAAAACAAAATATGAGATGTACACCTTTAGAGTCTCTATAAAAGACATATGTAAGCTAAATGAGTTTTGTGCAGTGGTTTTTGAGGAGAAGTGGATAAAGTACACCCCCTATTGTATGGGATGAACTGGATCAATAGAACCAATTCAAGTTCAAACATCTGTAGAAGTGACAAAATTAAGTAACTGGATGAACAAGGTATGAGATGCACACCTTTAGAGTTCCAATGAAACACACGTAGAAGGCCAATTCTGTTGAGCAGCTTTTGTGGAGAAGTTGATAGACTTCATCCCCTATAACACTATATTCAGAGAGAAATTCAACAAAATTTATGCAAGTTTAAACGGCATTAAAATTTGAAAAATAAATAAAATACAAAATCAAAATATGAGATGCACACCTTTAGAGTCCCTATAAAGCACATGTGTAATCTAAATGAATTCCATAAAGCAGACTTAATCCCCTATTCACTATCATCAAAGAGAAATTCAACAAAATGTATCTAACTTCTAAGTTCAAATGTCTCTAAACATACAAAAAAAATATAAAATACAAAAACAAAATATGAGATGCACACCTTTAGAGTCTCTATAAAAGACATATGTAAGCTAAATGAGTTTTGTGCAGTGGTTTTTGAGGAGAAGTGGATAAAGTACACCCCCTGTTGTATGGGACGAACTGGATCAATAGAACCAAATTCAACTAAGTTCAAACATCTGTAGAAGTGACAAAATTAAGAAATTGGATGAACAAGGTATGAGATGCACACCTTTAGAGTTCCAATGAAACACACGTAGAAGCTCAATCAATTCTTTTGAGCAGCTTTTGTGGAGAAGTGGATAGACTTCACCCCCTACAACACTATATTCAGAGAGAAATTCAACAAAATTTATCTAAGTTCAAACGGCATTAAAATTGAAAAAATAAATAAAATACAAAATCAAAATATGAGATGCACGCCTTTAGAGTCCCTATAAAGCACCTGTGTAATCTAAATGAATTCCATAAAGTAGTTTTTGAGGAGAAGTGGATAACGTACACCCCCTGTTGGATGGAACGAACACTGGCTGAATAGAACAAAATTCAACTAAGTTCAAACATCTGTAAAAGTGACAAAATTAAGAAATTGCATAAAAAATTATGAAATGCACACCTTTAGAGTCCCTACAAAAGACATGTAGAAGTTCATTCAATTCTGTTGAGCATTTTTTGTGGAGAAGTGGATAGACTTCATCCCCTATTACACTATCATCATAGAGAAATTCAGCAAAATGTACCTAAGTTCAAATGTCTCTAAACTTACAAAAAAAAACAATAAAATAAAAAAACAAAATATGAGATGCACACCATTAGAGTCCCAAGAAAGCCCATGTATAAGTTCATTGAATTCCACAGAGCGGTTATGGTGGAGAAGTGGATAGAATACATTCCCTGTTTCGTACGGACAGACGGACAGATGGATGGACAGACGGACGGACCAGCTTAGGGTATATGCCCCAGCCATATATGGCGGGGGCATAAAAAATTTAAGATAGATAAGTGGCTAGACAAAGCTCCATGTTACTATACTTCATTAATAATTCAATCAAACACGTTAAGGTGAGTTAAAAGCAAAGACATATCGAAGTAATTTTCACATTAAAAATACACATGCTCCTGTTTATCACAAATTATTGACAAGAAGCCCACTTCCTCTTCCCTCCCAGCGTCAGGTAAAGCATCTCACAGTCTCACTTCACATGTTACGTGTTAAACCAATAAAAAGAAGTCAAGCAAACAGTGATAACAGATAAATCAGGATGATAAAGTCTCAGTTGATACAGTATTTAACGACCAGTTTATTAACCAGGATTCCTGAGTCCGTAACCTGAAAGAAGCTGGCGCCTACTGTCAGAAGAGCGACATCTTTCTCCTGGAGATAAGAGTGAAAAGATAGAGATACAAATATGATTCTAATAATCAGGCGATTGTCCCAATGTGCATCTAGTTAGGGAAGATAAGGTGAAGCAATTTCCTTAGTTTGAAGAGTATTAAGGCGAACGAAGAATATGTTCTTTAGCCTGAAGCAAAAAGTTATATTTTGTAGACTACAGGGGTGGTATGAGATAAGTGAGAAGGGTGAGATAGGAGTGTGAGAAGAGTCAGAAAGGGAGTGATGAGAGCCAGATAAGTGAATGTGAAGAATGAGATAAGTGAGCATGAAGAGCAGGATAAGAGTGTCAGAAGAATGAGAAGAGTGAGATAAGAGATGAGAAGAGTGAGATAAGTGAGAAGAGTGTGACTAGTGAATGAGAAGAGTGAGATAAGTGAGAAGAGTGAGATATGTGAGAAGAGTGTGACTAGTGAATGAGAAGAGTGAGATAAGTGAGAAGAGTGATATATGTGAAAAGAAAGTGACTAGTGAATGAGAAGAGTGAGATATGTGAGAAGAGTGAGATCAATGAGAAGAGTGTGACTAGTGAATGAGAAGAGTGAGATATGTGAGAAGAGTGTGACTAGTGAATGAGAAGAGTGAGATAAGTGAGAAGAGTGAGATATGTAAAAGAGTGTGACTAGTGAATGAGAAGAGTGAGATAAGTGAGAAGAGTGAGATATGTGAGAAGAGTGTGACTAGTGAATGAGAAGAGTGAGATAAGTGAGAAGAGTGAGATATGTGAAAAGAAAGTGACTAGTGAATGAGAAGAGTGAGATAAGTGAGAAGAGTGAGATATGTCAGAAGAGTGTGACTAGTGAATGAGAAGAGTGAGATAAGTGAGAAGAGTGTGACTAGTGAATGAGAAGAGTGAGATAAGTGAGAAGAGTGAGATAAGTGAGAAGAGTGGGATTAGTGAGAAGAGTGAGATAAGTGAGAAGAGTGGGATTAGTGAGAAGAGTGAGATAAGTGAGAAGAGTGAGATAAGTGAGAAGAGTGAGATAAGTGAGAAGAGTGAGATAAGTGAGAAGAGTGGCATTAGTGAGAAGAGTAAGATAAGTGAGAAGAGTGAGATAAGTGAGAAGAGTGGGATTAGTGAGAAGAGTGAGATAAGTGAGAAGAGTGAGATATGTGAAAACAAAGTGACTAGTGAATGAGAAGAGTGAGATAAGTGAGAAGAGTGGGATAAGTGAGAAGAGTGAGATAAGTGAGAAGAGTGGGATTAGTGAGAAGAGTAAGATAAGTGAGAAGAGTGAGATAAGTGAGAAGAGTGAGATAAGTGAGAAGAGTGGGATTAGTGAGAAGAGTAAGATAAGTGAGAAGAGTGAGATAAGTGAGAAGAGTGAGATAAGTGAGAAGAGTGAGATAAGTGAGAAGAGTGGGATTAGTGAGAAGAGTAAGATAAGTGAGAAGAGTGGGATTAGTGAGAAGAGTAAGATAAGTGAGAAGAGTGGGATTAGTGAGAAGAGTGAGATAAGTGAGAAGAGTTAGATAAGTGAGAAGAGTGAGATAAGTGAGAAGAGTGGGATAAGTGAGAAGAGTGAGATAAGTGAGAAGAGTGGGATTAGTGAGAAGAGTAAGATAAGTGAGAAGAGTGAGATAAGTGAGAAGAGTGAGATAAGTGAGAAGAGTGAGATAAGTGAGAAGAGTGGCATTAGTGAGAAGAGTAAGATAAGTGAGAAGAGTGAGATTAGTGAGAAGAGTAAGATAAGTGAGAAGAGTGAGATAAGTGAGAAGAGTGGGATTAGTGAGAAGAGTAAGATAAGTGAGAAGAGTAAGATAAGTGAGAAGAGTGAGATTAGTGAGAAGAGTAAGATAAGTGAGAAGAGTGAGATAAGTGAGAAGAGTGAGATTAGTGAGAAGAGTAAGATAAGTGAGAAGAGTAAGATAAGTGAGAAGAGTGAGATTAGTGAGAAGAGTAAGATAAGTGAGAAGAGTGAGATAAGTGAGAAGAGTGGCATTAGTGAGAAGAGTTAGATAAGTGAGAAGAGTGAGATTAGTGAGAAGAGTAAGATAAGTGAGAAGAGTGAGATAAGTGAGAAGAGTGGGATTAGTGAGAAGAGTAAGATAAGTGAGAAAAGAGGGATTAGTGAGAAGTGTAAGATTAGTGAGAAGAGTGAGATAAGTGAGAAGAGTAAGATAAGTGAGAAGAAAGTGACTAGTGAATGAGAAGAGTGAGATAAGTGAGAAGAGTGTGATTAGTGAGAAGAGTGGGATTAGTTAATGAGAAGTATGACCAAGCAAGTGAGTCAGTGAGTCAGTTTGTGAACCAAATGTGTACACTGCTCATAAATACCACACAATCGACAATATCAAAGTAAATCTGTTGCCATGGACATATAAAGTACAACACTCACATCGACAGTAATTACATGACATATTACACACAAAGACAGCTGATACATCACCTGAATTCCTACACCGTCTTGAAGTACACATACATGTACAACTGATGGCACGGTTCCAAATGTCAAACCTGCAAGCGATACCGACACGTATACGGTTCCTCACTGAAATATACCGAATGTTAACTCATCTCTTACCATTATGTCAAGCACAAACTGACAGTCACCTACTGAAAGAAATGCAAATAGTAGAAGCAAACTAAGAAAAGAGCAAATGAGGCAACCAATTAACTCACCTCCCGGTATGTTGTACCTTATGCCAGTTACAAAGTTCCAGGAATATGTTTGTAGACACATAGACAAATATGTTAAGGACTGCTTACTTCATATTTCTTCATGAAAAAGATCAACGAAAATGACTTTTTCGTGAAGAAATATGAAGGATGCGGAATACTTCATATTTCTTCTTGAAGAAGAAATGTTAATCTTTTACATTTTTTATCAAACACGTTTGACTTTGGTTACACAGTGACATAGACGCACTGATATAAAGACAACAGGAACCATGGTCTGTAGGTGACAGGCAGTGACATCAGAACTGGAAGTGATGTCACAAAATGGATATGTCACTTCTAACATAATCAAAGGGACAGATAACCAGAAGTGAAGTCATCATGACTTCAACAATGATGTCACTAGAGAAGCTGAACTGGATGTGATGCCAAAACCAAAGTGACGTCATCAATGACTTCATACAATGATGTCACAAGAGAACCTGAGCTGGATGTGATGTCAAAACCAAAAATGACATCATCAATGACTTCATACATGATGTCACAAGAGAACCTGAACTGGATGTGATGCCAAAACCAAAGTGACGTCATCAATGACTTCATACATGATGTCACAAGAGAACCTGAACTGGATGTGATGTCAAAACCAAAAGTGACGTTATCAATGACTTCATACATGATGTCACAAGAGAACCTGAGCTGGATGTGATGTCAAAACCAAAAGTGACGTCAACATGACTTCATCAATGACGTCATTGTAGAACCGAACCAGAAGTGATGTCACAACCAGCAGTGACATCATCAACTACTTCATCAATGGAGAACCTGAACTGGAAGTGACAATATAACTGACTGACTGACTGACTGACTTTGGTTACGCCGATTTTAGCAATATTCCAGCAACATCACGGCAAGAAATGGGCTTCACACATTGTACCCATGTGGGGATTCGAACCCGGGTCTTTGGCGTGACGAGCCAACGCTTTAACCACTAGGCTACCTCACCGCCCCAGTGACAATATAATATTAAGGCCACTTATATAATGCTGGACTCCACACTGCTGAAACATGCTCTGAGCGTATACAATAATGGACATTATTACCCCTGATAACCCAAACTGCCTGTGAGGTGCGAGAAGGTCATATGACGTCATTGATGAACCTGAACTGTAAGTGGTGTCAGAACCAGAAACTAGGTCATCAATGACATCACTGATGAACGTGAACTGGAAGTGACGTCATGCCAAGAATTATGATATCCTGGACATGAGTTCACAACAACCACAAATAGAAATATCATTGATTGTTCTCATACATCTTCAACACACATGATAATGATGTCATGGTGCTTTTGGAGACATATTTGTATTTTTCACATGGATTTTCAAGGACTAAAGAATGAATCAACAAGAATGTTCAACTTCCATCAGCTAGACTGGGAGTATACCTGAGCAGGAATTCACCTGGAATATTCTGGCAATGTCACAGAAGTAGCGGATTCAACAGAATTATATGGACCAGAGTCGTCATGGTTAATATTTCAAAGGATACTACATCCATATCACAATTACTTCCATGCTCCTCCCATTCTTCTGTCACCTGTGAAGATCCAGGTTAGATTCGGTTTTCAGCAACCCAAGCTAGTTATAAGAGGCAACTGATCCCAGGGATCGAGTGGTCAGACTTGCTGACTTGGTTGACACAGACAGGCAGACAGACAGACAGACAGACAGACAGACAGACAGACAGACAGACAGACAGACAGACAGACAGACAGACAGACAGACAGACAGACAGACAGACAGACAGACAGACAGAATATTTTATTTAAGTCTCACCTTATACATACAAATTGCACTCACATATAGATATTAATAAAATATACATGCCACTCTAACTGGAGTTATGAGAGACTATGAAGTAAAACAACAAAACATATTTTAGAAGATAAAATAGCATAAGAAGATAGAGTTTAAGATCATTTGTATAAATATATACTGTAAACGTATTATATATCGCGTAGGTTTTATTTTCACGCAAAATATTTTACTGCGAAAATTTATACACAGCGAATAAACCTTTCATTCATTCACTCAAGTTTGAAGACAGAAATCTACGGGAATCTTAAAATGATGACTGATAGTAGCATAAAGAATCATACTTAACTGTCACTGTAATGGATTTCCCAAATCATGTCCTGACATGTTGTATTACTTTGAGCATGTAAAATAGCCCTGAAGGTTTTGGCACTAATAAGAATAAATAAAAGGTTGGTTAAAATGTGACATAACTTTTCAGCATCAGACAGATCTCTAAAATTGAGTACAATATCATGACAATTGTCTAAAAGCGGCGTGACACATGTCATTGCATCTTAATTGCGTAGATTGATGCTGATGATGTTGACCATAGCATTGTCTGGTCCAGACTCGATTATTTACAGACCACCGCCAAATAGCTGGAATATTGCTGAGTGCAGCGTTAAACAACAAACAAACAAACAAAACATAATTCGTCTGTCTCTGGATGATGGATATTTAGAAAGATGCGAGGTTGTTCCTACCTTAACAAGCTGAAGAGCTAGATTCTGATTAGAGGTACTATTTATCTTGACAACTAGTTGTGGTTGTTGACAGAGACAAGGACTTCTGTTGAAAATTCTGAAGATTAGTTTTGTGCCATTACAGTCAAACTAAAGGATTTATGGCAATGACGTAAAAGAGGTAGAAGATTCATAAGAATTATGGGTTTCTGGTTTGTTTACGGGATACACCTATCAGTGTAGTCCATTGCCTTAGTCGACTGGGGCATCAACACCTCTGTTGAAAAAGAAATAAAGCCCCAACTGTTGGCATCTGGTTGCACCGCTAATCAAAAAGTATTTTTGTATTACTGCGATTAATCAGTGTCAGGCCATGTTCGTGTGTTCTTGAACAAATGAACGGTGGGCAAAACCCCTCAAAAATCCAAAACTACAGAAAAAACTGATAGGTTGTTCCGAAACTAATTTCCTGATTCAAGTAAGTACTGTTGAACAGATATGAAATTTCTTAACACATAGAGTGAGTGAGTATGATTTCACTCACGTTTAACAATAGTCCAGCAATATCACAGTGGGGTACACCAGAAATGGGCTTTACACATTGTACCCATGTGGGGATTGACACATAGACTTCACCTCTGAAGATACATAATTTAGAAAGAAACAAGCAACTACATTTAAATTGAAAAGTAGGCCTTGTGAGATTTATTGCTTCATTTAGAGTAATGGCATTATAGTATGTGCCAGTGGAATGGAAAATAACCTGGTTAAGGAAATGTGAGATTGACAAGAATATACACAACTGAAGTGGATACTTCTGTTACATTCGAAGAAACTGAACCTCCATAAGTCTTGGTATTGATGCTAAGCTCCTGTAATGACACTTACTGATTGCAGCATTGTTGGATACTGAGACCATTTGTTCATTATGTAATAAGATCTTGCTCAATTCCACTAGGTGTCTCTGAAGTAGCTACCAAAACTTTCCAGTCCTATAATACTTTAACATATGATCATAGCACTAAGATGACTTGGAGGTCATTGAAGTGACCACAACACTGCCCAGTCCTAGGCTGGGCCTAAATACTCAGCCAGAGATCTTAGTGTGAAGATGATTGTAACTCCAATACTTTAACATAATCTTATGATGGTCATAGGACTAAGATGACTTGGAGGTCATTGAAGTGACCACAACACTGCCCAGTCCTAGGCTGGGCCTAAATACTCAGCCAGAGATCTTAGTGTGAAGATGATTGTAACTCCAATACTTTAACATAATCTTATGATGGTCAAAGTACTAAGATGACTTGGAGGTCATTGAAGTGACCACAACACTGCCCAGTCCTAGGCTGGGCCTAAATACTCAGCCAGAGATCTTAGTGTGAAGATGATTGTAACTCCAATACTTTAACATAATCTTATGATAGTCATAGGACTAAGATGACTTGGAGGTCATTGAAGTGACCACAACACTGCCCAGTCCTAGGCTGGGCCTAAATACTCAGCCAGAGATCTTAGTGTGAAGATGATTGTAACTCCAATACTTTAACATAATCTTATGATGGTCATAGTACTAAGATGACTTGGAGGTCATTGAAGTGACCACAACACTGCCCAGTCCTAGGCTGGGCCCATATGGTCAGCCAGAGATCTTAGCATGAAGATGATTGTAATTCCAATACTTTAATGCTGGCTTATGATAGTACTAAGATGACTTGGAGGAACAGGGTGTCATTGCACAAAGCGATCTTAGTACTAAGGTGATCGTAACTTCCATAGCTTAACATAGACTTACGA